ACAGTCCACTGATTGAGGGTTAGTAATGCTATCATGTTTCTCTGCTCGTATTGATTCAAAAGCTTCTTCTGTGTAGTTCCAGTTTTTCTTTGCGTAGCTGTTTTACCTTTGTGTAGCAGCTTCCCCTCTAGCTGGAAAAGTCCCTTAGATTTTTTTTTTGCATCATTCTCCCTTTTTGTCAGGAGTTGCAGGACGGTTGTTTGTTTTGGTGTGGTGGGTTTTTTTTTTTTTCCTTTCTTCTTTCAGTGTTAATTCTTCGTCTTCATTAGAGAAGTAGTTTATGGTGAACCATGTTCCTTGTGATTCTTTTTTTTTTTAACTTTTATGAATTCAGGTGTGCTTTTTGATCTTTTAATTTCTGAAGAGTATAGAGGGGATTATAGGGGTGGCAATAAGCTGTATGCGTGGTTGCTGCATTTTTTTTTGCTGATGTTTAACAGTGTACAGTGATAAAGTAAGCTCACATTGTTCATAAACCAAACAGTGCCAACGAAAACATCTTTTTAGATAGGAAGGTAAGCAAAGACTGGTCTGCATCTCATGCCTTCTCTTGAATCCTAAGCCTATTACTCCATGGGCAGATCCACGGAAAAGAAAAACAACCAGTCTCTTAGACATATATGGAATAAAGCACAAAGCAGTCTTTAATTAATCCCTTAATGTAAGGTAAATACCTACTTTAGAAATGGAATTACAGTAAAGCAGTAGAGGAATATGGGGAATCCTGAGCGTGTGTCTTATGGCACTTTCTGAAGAGTCTCTGGAAGGAAGGTTGCTACAGCCTTTTCCACATAGGTTGAAAGTGTTTGTTAAATCGTCAGAGAAGACAAGAAAAAACACTTTAGCCTGTCTCTGATTTATCTTCCTTACTTGCTGTTGTTGACTGTCATGTAATAATGTCAGTTAGGTTTTGTTTTTTTCATATGTAATTGCAGACAGATATTGTAGAGTTTCTTTATAAAGTGAATAAAAATCAAATATTCTTCAATAAGTAGTGTTGTTGAACCCGGTCGGCATTGGGGTTTTATCTGTTAGGAGAAATGGAGTTCTTTATGGAATATTGACTAGTCTTTTTATGAGATGAGAAATTTTCTGGTGAGGACATTATTAACCGAAGTCATGAATAAAGATGTTTTATGTGGCCAACGAGAAATTCCTACTATGATAGTGTAATTCGGTGATTGGTTTTCTCAAGGAGCACGTCAATTATTTGTTCATCATTCAGCATTTTGCAGCAGTTTAGCATTTGAGTAATCTTCAATTTTGCTTCAGGTATGGCAGAATGGGTCTACTTATACTTTAAAGTATTGATAGAGATGGCTCACGCAAAATTCCTATAATTCTCAGAACATGGTGTAAAAGAATATCATCTTGTTTTGCTGTTTGAACAGGTAAAACAGCTCAGCATGTCAATTTTATAGATAGCAAGAAGTAATTAACTAGTAGAGGCAGAAATTTCCTAGAGCTTTGAATGTATCGTGTTGATGAAATGTGATGAATTAGGGCTGATGATCATTATAATAAACTTGAGCAATACAATAAGGAGTGTTAGTAGTCTTCTGACTCCTGTACTCCCATTTTTAAGCTTGAATTTTCATATAACTATTTTGTTCTTGGGTTTGAGATTGTTGTTGTTGTTTCTTTTTAAGGAAATAGTAAGTTTGCTTCTGGTTTTTTAGATTGCTTCCATTTGGTTTTGACAAATCCTTTCCTTCCTTTCTGAATAAGCAAAAGTAGGTGGAAGGTATGACTCTGTACTTTGACATTAAAAACTTTATAGAGCTTTCTTGAAGTTCTTTAATACTGGGAGGTTATTCTAGGCCTCTGCAAATGTATGAATTTTCCGATAACGTGGTATGGTGGGTTTGACCTTGGCTGGATGCCAGGTCTCCATCAAAGCTGCTCTATCACTCCCTTTCTCAGCTGGACAGGGGAGAGAAAAATATAATGAAAGGCTTGTGGGTGGAGATAAGGACAAGGAGAGATCACTCACCAATTACTGTCATGGGCAAAACAGGCTTGACTGAGGGAAATTAATTTATTGCCAATCAAATCAGAGGAGGAGAATAAGAAATAAAACCAAATTTTAAAACACTTCCCCCTCACCCTTCTCTTCCTCTTGGGCTCAAATTTACTCTGTTTTCTCTACCTCCTCTCCTCAAACAGCACGGGTGAACGGGGAATGGAGGTTACAGTCAGTTCATCACATGTTGTCTCTGCTGCTTCTTCCTCCTCACACTCGTCCTCTGCTCCAGCCTGGTGTCCCATGCACAGGAGACAGTCCTCCACAAACTCCTCCAACATGAGTCCTTCCCACGGGCTGCAGTTCTTCACAAACTGCTCCAGCCTGGGTCCCCTACGGGGTCACAAGGCCTGCCAGCAAACCTGCTCCCACGTGAGCTCTTCTTTCCATGGAGTCACAGGTCCTGCCAGGAACCTGCTACAGCACGGACTTCCCGCAGGGTTGCAGCCTCTTTGAGACATATCCCCCTGCTCTGTCATGGCTCCATGGGCTGCAGGTGGATATCTGCTCCACTGTTGACCTCCATGGGCTGCAGGAGGACAACCTGCTTCACCATGGTTGTCACCGCAGAGGAGTCTCTGCTCTGGGACCTGGAGCACCTCCTCCTCCTTCACTGACCTTTGGTGTCTACAGAGTTGTTTCATGCACATATTCTCACTCCTCTCTTCTGGCTGCTGTCATGCAGCAGTTTTTTCCTCCCCTCTTTTTTAAATGCGTTATCCCAGAGGTGCTGCCACCGTCACTGGGTGGCTTGGCCTTGGCCAGTGGCGGCTCCATCCTGGAGCTGGCTGGCACTGGCTCTGTTGGACACACGGGAAACTTCTAGCAGCTTCTCAGAGAAGACACCCCTGTAGCCCTCCCTGCTACCAAAACCTTGCCACATAAACCTAATACACATGCCAACTTACACCAATAAAATCAATGATTACACTTGGTGAGCCTGCGCGAGAAACACTGGGAGTGTAAACTGGAAGATAACTGTGCCATGAATTGTGTTGATTGACTTGTATTTTTCTTTCATTTTTCATGTTTGTTTTAAAGCCATAGCTTTAAAGGAAGAAGAAAAATAACTTCACCACTTCTAAACATACAGATAATTTCACCCCTTCAAGCTACAGGCCTTGACACATTCAGAGTCTTTTCTGCTGGCTGTCACGCTGGTGTGATTACACAGCAATACAGCCTCCCTGTGAGCTGGATAGTAATGGAAATATATTTCATAATCTTCTCAATAATCCTTATTAAGCATGCTGGCTTTGTTATGAAGCAGTAAGTTCATGGCTCCCACCAATATGGCATGGCAATATGAGAATCCAGGGTCAGTAACTTTGGTATTGAATTTTTCATATTCAAAAATGATGATACCATTGTTGTAGGCATCTGAGTTCCTGAAAAAGGTGTTATGGAAACTTCAGTACTGCTTTTCTAAAAATAAACAAATAAAAAACCTAAGCAAAACCTTTTTAAAATTCCAGATTTTTGTGAATTTAAAAAAGCTGTGTTACAGCATTTTTTCATTAATTAATTTTAGAAATTTGGTATGTAGATTACTGCATTCATGTACAAGTTTATGCAGTACATGAAATTTGCTTGTGGACCTCATGTTACTTGTTGTCATTTGTTATTTCTTATTGCTGTTATTTCTAGTTCCTTGAAGAATAACCAAGAAAATGTCCCTGTAGTGCTAGGTACCAAATATGTATAAAGAGGTCCCATTCTATACCAGACCTGTGCCAGTGACATGGGCAAGCTGGATGTGCAGTAGTGGCAGCACATGTGAGCGCTCAGGCCCAGGGAGTTCAATAACAGGAGTAAACAGGGGAGAAGTGGATAAAACGGGAGGCTGAGATGCAAGGATGAATAACATGAATGTAAAGACAAAAAGGCTATGGGGGTACAGGTAGAATAAAGTTTCTTTGTGAAATCTGTTCAAAATTCTAAACAGTCTGACAATCCCAAAGGGTTGTTTCTCTGGTTGGATCTTGAAAAAGCAGAAAAGGACCTGGGGGTCAATAGTCAGCTGAACATAAGCCGGCAGTGTGCCCATGTGGCCAAGAAGGCCAACAGCGTCTGGCCTGAATCGGAAACAGTGCGGCCAGCAGGAGTGGGGAAATGATCATGCCCCTGTACTTGGCGCTGGTGAGGCCGCACGTCAAATACTGCGTTCAGTTTTGGGCCCCTCACGACAAGGAGGACGTTGAGTTGCTGGAGCGTGTCCAGAGAAGGGCAGCGAAGCTGGTGAGGAGTCTGGAGCACAAGTCTGATGAGGAGCGGCTGAGGGAACTGGGGTTGTTGAGTCTGGAGAAGAGGAGGCTGAGGGGAGACCTTATTGCTCTCTACAGCTACCTGAAAGGGGGTTGTGGTGAGGTGGGTGTTGGTCTCTTCTCCCAAGTAACTAGCGACACAAAGAGAGGAAATGGCCTCAAGTTGCACCAGGGGACGTTTAGACTCAGTGTTAAGAGAAACGTCTTTACTGAGAGTGGTCAAACATTGGAATGGGCTGCCCAGGGAGGTGGTGGAGTCACCATCACATTCAAAAAATGTGTGCAAGTGGCACTTCAGGACATGGTTTAGTGGGCTTGGTGGTGTTGGGTTGATGGTTGGACTTGATGATCTTGAAGATCTTTTCTAACCTTAATGATTCTGTGATTCTGTTAAGTTTGAAGGAGACCCGTAGGCTAGGATGGTCCCATTTTATTGTTTTCCCTACTATGGTGGGTTCTGGCATTGTGTTTCTTCAGCTTAGTGCTGTGTAGTTGCACAAGGGGAGTTTCAATTCTATGCAGTCTTCATACATTTGTGATTTTTTTGCTTTTGAAGTTGTGATATACTTTCAAAACTATCAATGATAAATATTGTGTTTAATGAAATTTTTTTTTTTTTCTACTTTCCATATTCTATTGTTAACTGATTTTTTTACTAGGAACTTTCCAGAGAAAAAGAGGATTCAAGTAATGGCAATGTATTCCCTCTACAGGATTTATGAACGCATCATTGATCCCCCAGAAACGAATTTGACACCGGAAAGCAATTTGTGGCTTGGACAGAGAAACAGGAAGCATGGTTTCTTTAAGGTAAGGAGACATGAAATGGCACATGCAGAAGAAAATCAATAAATAGTCAACAAGATATTTCTGATTAGGTGTCTTACACACTGGAATCTGATTTGCATGAATTTCAGTAGAAATTGTGGGCTTGGGATTTGGGGTGAGTCCAACACTTAGCAAAAAGGGTCTCTTCCTGCAAGGTAGAGTATTGTAGTCACTGATTGCATTGCCCAGTATTTGGGGTTTTTGTTTGGTTTCCTTACTTGAGGTTTCATCTACCTGCTGTGCTCTGCCTTGCCACTCCTGGGGACAGGACAAGACTGCGTAGGCAGCATCAGAGTCTATTCTTGGCTTTCATCCTTGAACCTTCTCAAAACAACAGCTTTGCTGGCCAGACAGTGGTGGTCTTAATCACTCTCGAGGACATTTCCTCCTCCATTTCACATGCAGGATACCCTCACCCTTCTGCTGTTTGTCTCGGGTGATTCTTCCTCATTTGCCTCTGTCAGCATTGACTTCTAGAGCAGAGAAGGTCTTCTGGCCTGTGATCCTTCTGGCTTTGGCAGATACTAGCTATTGTATGCAGTGCATTTTTCTTGCTACAAACCAGTAGATTTTCTGTTACTGGAGTACCTTCCTTCCTTTCTGTTTTTCTCAACTAACTGTGTCACTGTGTTTCTCAACAGAGAGTGAATAGTGGGTCACCAAGTTTTGTTCATGAGCTTCTTTGGCCTTCGGAGCTTCCATTGCTTCTGAACGGCCCAGACTGAAAGGGTGCCTAGCTGGAAAGCCTGTCTTTTTCCATTTGTGAGGCTTACCAAGACGTCGTCATTGAGTAGGCCTGTAGGGGCATGAGGAACTTTTCGGAGGAAAAAAGAGGATTCAAGTAATGGCAATATATTCCAGAATCAGTTAATGGCAATGTATTTCCAAAAGTGCAAAGGACAGAGAAAAGACCTACAACTTGAAAAGCCCTCTCCTGTATCTTTTTCTTTCAGCTTTTTTTGGCCCCTGATGAGGCTATATGATTTTCTGGTCAAGGTTGAATTGCTGAACCAACCCACCAACAAAATCCACCAACAAACAAAAATCACCCCCTTCACCTGAAAATTATTCTTTTACTTTGTAAGCAAGCTACAGAAAAGTTTCTGATACTACTTCCAGTTTTGGATAACAAGCCACGGTACAAGTGTTTATCAGTGGAAGAGTCTATAGTGCAGTGATAGGCCAATCTGCCTATGCCCAATACTGGCATGGATGCGTTAACAAGGTGATGTACCACCCACTCAGTTTCCCTTTGAGGCTGTCAGTTCATAAGACAATCTTAAAAGTTGCTGTTTTTCTGAGGACCTCTCCTTGAAGTCCCCATATTTCAACAAGTTAGGACAATTATTTTAAGCTAAAATTATTTGTGGTAGGATTGGTGCTGCAACTACCAACTTCTATTTTGAAACAGAGGTAAAAGCTAACTTTTAACCTAAGTAGCAGTCCGAGAGTTGTTCTGAACCTGGAGTACATTTCATCCTCCAGCAGCTGAGCTGTCACCATGAAGTGAAATTGATAGTAGTATTTTATTCTACAGCTGTTGTTTTTTTACCTCAGCTGCTTCCCATAATTCCACAGATGGTAAGCATATGTTTATAGCTACATAGGAGAAAAAGAAGTTCTGTTGGATTCCTCCATCTTAAATTCTTATTTTATGCAGGCAGGCAGAGCCTCAGAGCTCTAGGATATTATATGTTTGTAAATTAATATTTCTACGCGTTAACACTTTGGAAACAGCAGGGTAGCTAATGATATGCTAATGAGCTGACAGTTTTTATTGATCATAATGAAAGCCGACAAGTGCCTTACTCTGCTTTATGCATGCTTGAATATTTTACTAACTTTCTTCAGGGCAGATATATAATTGGTTGTATTTTTTTAATCCTGCTTGAGAGTTTCAGAAATCGTACTACTTTTTTTAATGTTACTCATTGCAAAAACTTGGGATTTTGCCAGTTTGTAAAGAGTACACATCGCTTTCCATTTATTTACATGCTCAGCAAGACCTCCCTTTCTTTTTCAGAGCAATTTGTTTCACTGTTTTAGCATATAAAAAAATAGATCTAGTTTCCTTAATGTAAACAGAGATCTGCAGGGAAATAAGAGCGTTAAAAAAGAATTAACATTTTTGTATGTGTGTTGGAGACATGATAATGTATGTAACAAAACGCACTGGATACTGTTCTGAGTATGCTTTTGTTCCACATCCTTACTTACGGTGATTATTCCCCAAGTAGCCATGCTGTGTCTGTGGCCTTGCTGGGGAATGGAGTGCTCTATGGCATAATCGAAGGAATTGAAGTCCTGGCCCTTACAACTTGTATCTCTTACTGATTGTAACTTACCTAATAGGACAAAGCATTTGGAGCTCAAAGATGGAACGGTTTTAGCGCAGCAGTGGCAGGAGCAGAAGCAGAGCAGACTTAAGATAGCTTTGTCTGTTTGCTGTGAAGGGAATCTGATGAATTACATCCTTCGAAAAATACATGTTGACCCTTCAGGTTTCTTTATGTGGCCCAAAACAAAGATTTGTTTTAGGGCTAGAGAATACCATTATAAACATATTAGGAAACCAAAGTAAATGTAACTGAAAGGAGGAAGAGAGTGATACCAGACATCCAGGGAAACCTCACTGTAGGATGGATCTGATTGCTGTCAGGATCAGAATTATCTGCAAAATTCATTTTATCACTGGGGAGCACGCTTCCCCCTAAGGCTTCCTCCAAAAGCTGCTGCAGAAGTGAGCTTATTAATGCATTGCTGACTAGGTGATTCATGTCGAAAGATGGTAATTTTCATATCTGCTGTAACAGGCTGTATTGATCCTGCTGCTGTGTCTGGGGATTGTATGGCAGGTGCTTGAGAACTATGTTGGTATTTTTACTGCACAGCATCATATGTATACTTGGGCCTCTGTAGTTGTTTTGGTCTTGAAGTCGTACAGCTTAAGGTGAGGTAAATACAGTGCCTGGCACGGGGCCTGCCTGCCCTCTGGAGAAGAGCACAGTGCTGATCTAGTGGAGATCTAGTGGTGTTGGCATAGCGTTGCCTGGGCACAGGGTTTCGGGTGCATCTGCAGGTGCTTCTGTGCAGAACATCCCACCAGCACTGGCCGATGCAACTTGCATAGCGGTGTGGCACGCATTGTCTCCATGGAAGAAGTAGGTTTTAGAGAGTGTGAAAGGCAGTGGAGGAAATGAAAATGCTGAGGTGTAGATCTCATGGAATATATGAGCTTTTCACAGTCGTCTATTTAATAGGGACATGAGAAGTGCAATAAACAGGGTTTTTGTATTATATTCTTATGGGATGGGCTTGATATTTAGTGCTGTAGGCCTGAATTTAATCTTGTAGCTGGTAATCTGCCTGCACAGATGAAAGCTCTTCAGTGAATCCTGATGCTGAACTGAAGATTTGGTTGTAATTAGCCAAATGCTTTAATGATAACATAGAGGTGATGTCTGCTGGGGAAAGGCAAAACTGGGAAGATTTTGACCACTGACATCTGTCAAGGTCAAATCCTAATGTCTTTTCGCAGAATGTGGGCTGAAGAACTCCACCCTGTGCCAGAGTGAACCAGAGCCCTTGGCTTCCCCTGGGGAGCTGTGCATACCTAATTCTTCTTCTGGCTGTGGCCGTACAAAACTCTCAGCAACCTAGACTTAATGCTGAAGGAGGAATAGTCCAAGTTCATATGTGCTACAATAATTATGGCTGTAATAAGTGTTTGCCTATAATGAAGTTTTTCTATTAAAAAAATACATCAGTGAAATTTCTGCTCTTTGAAGGTTCACTTCTATATTTGATCGTGTTAATTCTGTTTCAGAGTGCTTATAGACTTAGAAGGCATTTATACTGGTGAATTGAAGTTCATACATTTTTCCATGGTAACATGCTTTCATGTAGCCAGAAATTAAGACACAAAAAATAGTTGTGTTTCCTCTTCAGGTTGTATTTAAATGCAGATCTATCAAAAAGAGACTTGAGCAGTGGGGCTCTGATGCAACGAACATGTTTGAAATTCAATATGCACTTTTTAAAAAAGGCTGAGAAAAACATTTTATCACTTCTCTCTGGATGATGTCTTGTTAGCTGTGCAATATTGTCTGCGGAAACTTTGTAATCTCATTTGCTCTTGGTTAAGCTTTTCACTGGAGAGGCTTAAGCATTGAAATACAGTTTTATGCCTCACCACCTAATTTCTCACTGATGAAAGTATATAAAATGGCTTTCAGGATGTTCCTTTTCCAGTGACACTATTACTTCTCATTGTTATGATGGTTTCATTATTCTCATAGATGAAAAGGTTAATAAATATATATACTTCTGCAAGAAAGACAGTGTGATCTGATTATGTCTATTAGTATTTTGAATTAATATTTGATCATGAAATAGTAAGCAGGAAACAGTGCTTGCTGATTACCGTCTGCTGTTTTAGCAAATGAACATGTAAATGTTAAATGTTACTTACCAGATTTACCAGGCTTCAAGGGCTATCTGAGGCCTGTATTTTATTTATGGATGGAGTTCAGTGTTTTGAGCAAGCGACTACGTCCTCAAGTCTGCAACATTCATTCTATTGCAATTTAACTGAAAATTAAAACATAGTCTTACAAATCAGTAATTTAATTAGATAATAACTGCTGCGATGATAAATTTCCTTTCAAATTAAAGAAGCTCTTCTGTGTCTGGGAGGCGATAGACCCATGTCACTACATCTGATTAACAGTCAGGCGAAGTGCAAATCGCAGCACTACAAGTCCCTTGTTTTCCCTTGCTCCTCTCCCTTAGTGACCATGACATTATTAAAGCTAGTGGATCTTGTGCAGTAAGGATGTTAAACAGTCCAAGATGGAGCAAGAGCTTTGTACGGAGCTTAAAAGAGCAAACACAAGCTTCAGCATATTCTAGGCTATTTGAAGGATTTAGGGTTCTTCAGGACCCAAGTGTGCAGGGATACTGGGCAACCGTTCGTGTCTGCTGCTTCCGTCAGGGATATCCTTGCAAGTCGGGGCCAGCAGAGGATGCAGCCGGCAGTGGACCTTTTGGTCCTTCCTCTCTCCTGTCCTGCCCACTTCAGTTTCCGGGCCCCGTACAGCCTGCACTAGCTGGCTCTGATCTTGGAGTCCTGATTTCTGCCAGTCCTGCATAAGGAATCTTTAAATCTGTCCGCGTTAGAGAGAGGATTTAATTCTAACCGATGGCATGATTACACGAACTGCCTGTTGAAACACAAAGCTAGTAGGCTAAAGTAAACCAAACAGCTGAAGTGTGGACTCTTACTTACCTCTTGCACTGTATACTTCCCTTTTTATAAAGTTTGATTTCATAGTCTTTGGCTTAATCACTGAAGAGTATTGCTGTGTTTTCTTTTTGTCTTTTTGGCAAAGTGTGTCATAGGCTTGAATAATGGATATTATTTCACTGCTTTTTCACCAATCTCATCCCTTTTTAAGACATTTAAGCAGCTTATATTTGGCGATTGCAAAAGAAAGCAGTGTTATTTCTGTGTTTTATGAAAATTAATATCTAAACGCACAGGAAGAGAGGAGGAGTTGTTATATTTTGTCCATCTTCAGTTCTTTCCCTCACAAGAGGAGTGAGCTGGTCAATTTTTTTTGTACCTGCTTAAGAAATGTGAAACAGCTTGTACAGCTCTAAGTGAATGCTTGTGATCTGTATTACCAGTTTTCTTTTCTTTTACAAAGGGTGTTATTCAAGATGTGAAAGTCATCTTTATACCTAATGGATATATAACGCAGTGTCCTAATCTGAATCGCAGTAAGTAGCAATTTTTTTTATTCTGTTTTAGATTTTTCATACAAATTATTTCATTGTTTTAAAAGTAATATTTTCAGGCATGTCATTTTTGCATGTCCTGACTTCCAGAAGGCAAAAATTCTGTGTAAACAGACTGCATTTTATGTTCAGATAACCAGCGGTATATCAGACTTGATTTATTTATTGGTTATTGTGTCTTTCCTTTTCTTTTTACTCTTCCTTTATTGAGCGTGCCCGACCTGCAGTGATTTCCTGAGTCTGGTGCAAGGAATCATGGACTTGCAAGAACTCCTGGCAAAAATGACTGCAAAAGTAGGTACCTAAGCTTCTTTGTCAGTTGCCCATTTCCTTCTGTGCTAAGACCAACATGAAAGTATTTATTCCTTTTGCAATTTTTCTACATTTTCATGGTAGACCTTTCCCCCCCCCCTCCTCTTTCTGCCAGTAGCCCCATCTGCTACGGATATAGCTTCACGGATGTCACTTAAGCCTTATACAGCTTCTATTGTCTGCCTTATTATTTGTAAGATAGTGACAGAATGCCCAGGGTCTGGTTTTTGTAAGAAGCCTTAGCATGATTTCCCTTTTCATGCTGAGGGATAAATGCAGAAACAAAGGAATGAAATCCCTCAAGAATTTCCTCACCATGTGATGCTGTCAGAGGGTGCGTGTTTGCCTGTGGGAAGTCCTGTGAAGTCTCCAGGACTGGCATAGTCTCCTTCCTGGGAATTGAAATGAGGCCCCAAAATGGAAATGCCTGTGAGGCTGCTGGCTCTGCTGATCTCGACAGCACCTTTGATGAGTGTTATGGTGTAGAAGTTAACGCAGCTCCAGGTGGTATGTTGGTTTTTTTTGGTTTTTTTTTTTGATTATGAGTGGGATGCATGGGAAGTTATAGCGTGTTTTTTGTCTGGAATTTTTGAGATTTGCTTTAGGCCCTGCTCCCACACCACGCAGTCAACCTCTGTGTTAGCCAAGGCCCTTCATCTAAGGCTGTGGTGAAGTTTCGGGGTAGGAAGCTGTGTTTTAGAGGTGACTGAACCCCTGGTGTGTGTTAAAGGGCAATCTGTGAACACTTTTTGAGGTTAATGTTGGGGAATCATCTAGTCTGTGATAAAAGGCACTTAATTGTCTCATCTGCAACAGCACTTATGTACTAATTACTTACAGATTTAAGTGCAACTGCAACCAACCTGTAGATGCCTTTAATCTCAGTGTAGTTGCTGAACAGGAATTTCAAAAATAGGATTTGCATAGTAGTACTACTAGCATAAACGCATTATACTTTTTACTGTGCTGCCTTTAAGTGTTCTTTTCTTTCCTAATAGGAAAGGGGAAACTTTGTTTTTGAGAGAGTGTGTGCATTATACTGATAATCCACTTACTCAGCTGACGTGCTTTGGACAGGCTGACTCTGAATGCAAAATGTGAAGCTTCTAGTTCAGTTTGGTGCTTGTACTGTGAAAGGGAGGCAATTATTTTGAGCCCTGCTGGTGGTATAAGCAAGTTCCAATTATGCACTGTACTCAGTAACTTTCTTTCTCTGCTGTTAATTATATTTTTGCTTGCTAATACTTTATGAGGGGAAGCAAATAACACAGTATTTGTACAGCAAAGACTCTGTGCTTCTGTAAAGTGGTGCTGGGATAATCCTTCATTGTGAGTTCCTTTCCTTTGTTACAGCAGTGCACTAACTGTTTCATTGCCATTGCAGAAATATTGTTGTCCAGGAACATGCATGCAGCAGGAAAGGAGGTTAATTTGGTAGACAAATGCAAGTTAAAAATTGAGGGACTTAAGGGAAGCATTAAGGATTGTATTTACCTTTTCAGTCCTAGCTACAGTAACCATAAGTGGTACTAGAGTAGATACAAGTATATCACATGGGGATGATGTATGGCAAGGCAAAGAGCAAGGCTTAGAAGAGCTGTGTAGCTGTCTGCAAGAGCTCCTGTTTGGCTGAGCAGTTGGTCTAAGAATGGCTTGCTAATGTACATGAGCAATGGACCCCAGCCCCTGTTCCTGCACCAAGAGATGCGGAGCATGAACATGGTATTTTGGAAAAGTGGGTCCTGCGGTTTGATGTCCAGTTGTTGCTTTTAGGCTCTACTATATCGAGGATTTCAGTTTTGCTGTCAATCTCTGTTTGGTTACAGCTGTATTACAGCATTGAATAGACCGGTGAATATTGTTTGCAATGAATGTGTAAATGCAGTTTATGTAATATAAAACTATGAAGACTCAGACCAGGGCTTGTCTGGGAAGAAAGTATTAGACTCGTGGCTTCAGGCTCCTGTTATGTTGGTAGCAGTGCAAATTATGCAGTACGTAGGCAGGAGGAGAGAGTACCCTCTTGCTCAGACTTTACCTCAGGGTCCCATGAGGCTAGTGGTGGCTTAGGATGGAACGTGGGGGCTATATAAGGCACCCAGTAGGGCATTGTCTGTAGCAGATTGTCGTGGAGTGCTATGTACAGGAGCATTTGATGATGACCTGTAACAAGCTAACCACCATTATGCCCTCCGTACCTATGTCTTGTAAGGACATAGCTGCTTTTAAAGATGAATAAATGCTAGCTTCTTAAACCTATTTTATTTTTGTCATCATTTTAATTAATTCTGAATCTTTCCAGTACATATGTTTAATTGATTCAATCTTGTGTCCTTAGAGACACACCATGCATTAGAGTGTTAGGATTTTGGCTAAAATGTTAATTTGCTGCAGGAGAAAAGGATTGTGTTAGATTTCAGCATTCCCAACTGCCATGCTGGAATACTGTTAGCTCCTCTTTAAATATAATGGCTAAAATAATTTATGCAACAATCTACTGAAGTCGGTCTGGGCATCTCGTGCATTTTGTTGAGTGGAATGTAATTTCTTCTTGGTAAATTGTGGGCATGCACCAGGGTGTGCTTTGTATTCAGATGTGCTTGTTACGTGAAGACTTCAGCACAAAACTTAAGAGGTCAGAAAGGTTAAAGCTTGAGCGTGATTAAAACCAAGAAAAATCAAGTGCTTGAGTTCATAGACAGACCACTTAATCCAGTTTGTTTACGTCATGGATTTATATGGCCATGAATATTTTTACAAAGAACAAAATTTTCCTTATAAATTTTGATAGTTTTGGGGGGGTTTAGGTATTCTCATTATTAATTTTGCCAGAAACAATACATTTTTAACAAAAGTCTGTTGTCTTTCCTTTATTTGTATGGGCAGAGGAGAAGCAAGGAAAGTGTTAAGTAAGTTTTGTGAATAATAGCTACCCAAATATTCCTGAATGTTAAGAACTTAGGATTTGGTTAGTATATGGAAAGTGTTTAGTATGGTGTGGGCTGCTGCTCCCTCATTTTTTTATTTCTATTCATAATGTAAAAAAATGTTTGAAGCCTGAGAATTTTCTGCTGATGTTTTAAATGTTCAACAGACCTAGTTGTGTGCATTTGGCAACACTTGGAAGGGTATTTCAGCTAATTTTAAGGAATTTATTGTTTTACTGAGCCCATTAGAAATTTTTCAATTAAGGCTTGCAGTTTAGAAACAATGTTTCCGGTCATTCTACTATAGCAGGTAACAGTTAAATGTTGTTTCTGAACAGATTCTGTGGTCTGTGATATGTTCATTGACACCTGTGTATTGGAGGGTTTGTTGTTGCATGCCTTCCTTCTAGTCATCTACTTGACTGATTTACTATGTTTAAAGGTATTTCTTAGAACAGGAGGTAAAGGATTTTTAAGTAAATAAAACTTATCAAGATAATGCAAATGACAGAAAAAGTTAATAAATTGAAGATATTTATTCACTTAGAGCTTTCTTCTTTTCCTGGGGAATAATTTCTAGGACAAAGAACAATGCCAAGTACTACTTTCAAGTCTGAGTATTTCTAAAGCCCTTTCTCTCTAAGATTTGTATAGCCCATTTATATGGGAACGTTCCTTTAAAAAAAAAAACGTACAAGATATGTAAATAAAGTGGAAGTTTAAGACAAATCAAACACCTTTTTAACAAAACTGAATATATTTTAAATACTGTAAATATAATGATCAAATATAATGACCTGAAAAAGGTTTCTGCTGGAAACAAGCAGTGCTGTAAGAGGATAGTTTTACCTGTGAAATATGAAAATCAGTTTTGAAGTCACCAGATCATACTGAGTCTGGGGGAGATGAGCATCAGTCCCCTATTATCCCAGAATAACAACTTAAGGAAGTAAGAGCTTTTATTCAATGCCTTCTCTCCTGTGGACTGCCGAGAAAAAAAAAAAAAAAATCACAACAATTGGCTGAGTATTTATTTTCTTTTTCTTCCTCCTAAATATGTTGCTCTTGTACTGGCAGGAATGAAGAAGGACATATTAGAATACTTTCATTTAAAGTGGATAGAATCTTAGAGGATGGAAGTTTATGAAATTCAGGTGTATGGCATTATATAAAAAATAGTACAGCTCTGTGCATTCCCTTTTTAATAAAATTTGCTGCTATTAAAATGTAGCAACCTATAATGTGGGATAATAGCAGCATATTTATAGCAGAATAGAGTATGCATAAATTGTGTCTTGTGCCAGGTTTAGGTAGCCTTGCTATTTGCAGTGGCTTCAGTCTGATGGCTTATGCACATAAGACCAATGTGAATGTAAGAACCGAAGACCTTGAGAAACCCTTACCCAACTGGCACCAGGGAAATTTTTAGAGCAATGGCAGTCCTGGGGCCTGAAGAATGCACATATTTACTTCTAAATATTAAGTCTGTATTTATATATTCATTTACTTACTTTTAGTATTAGTAAATGGGAAAGTCATTTTGAGTGCTCTTAGGGGCTAGAGATGATGGCACAGGATACAAGGAGTGCATAGGTGGGGGTTGTTCCTCTCTGGAGGATGGTAAGATAGTACCTTATGTGAAGGGGAGGTCTGTGATATGGCTTACAAGAGGGTGATTCAAAAAGCCTTGTCCTTTTCTGCTACTACATGAATGAGCATTGTCCCCACTTATTATTGCGTAGTATCTCATCAGTAAACGTAGCAATTGTTTGTGTGCAGATGCAATACTTGGAAAAGATGCAGCAGTTTTAGCTTCTTGATATGCATTTTAGTAGCTGGAATTGAGGAGGTAATGGGAACAGCAAGGAGTGTTAAGAGCTAGCCACCAGTCCAGGGTTTACTCCAGGAGCATGACTTCATTAATCAGAGTCTGGGGATATTTTGTACTACACTGAGTTAAAATGCTGTCTTTCTAAATCTCACTTGCTGTTATAAGGTTCAGACCTTTCTAAAAGTCAGAAGGTATTAGCCTGGCTGATACTTAACAATGATGAGATGGGGATGATTAGGAAAAGTCAGTCTGCCAGTCTTCATGCTTTTTGACTTGTAATCAGGTTGATGAGCAATTAAGATTTTTTTTTTTTTTAAAACAATTGTAGTTTGTGCACTTTTGGTAGTGCCTAAACATTCCTGAGGGGATCTTAGTGAGGTTTGCTACAGTACAAGAGACAGTTGCATGAGTCATAAACTGTTGTCAGTTGGCGTGCATAGCTCCATCAAAGTCCGAGGAGCAGCATCAACTTTATACCTGCCAACATCCTGGTTCAGTGTTTTGAAGATTGTAGTCAAACTTGGTTTAGCTAAAAATAAGTACACTGCTTTCTCATATTTGCTTTTTTAAATCATGTGTTTGAATTGCAGAAATCTCATCAAGTTACTTTCATTTATAGTTAAATTATGCAGAAACAAGACTGAGTCAATTGGAAGACTGTCATTGTGAGAAGACTTGTCAAGTAAATGGATTGATCTATAGAGACAAAGACTCATGGGTTGAAGATGATCACTGCAGGAATTGCACGTGCAAAGTAAGAATTTCTAAAAAGTTGAAGGAGTAGGACCTAATTAATGTGTGAAAATGGTCCTTGAATACATAATGTTAACTCTGAGAATTATTATGTTTTTAGTATGCACCTAGTGGCAGTATGAACAACAGGGAGGGAAATGGTAAAATAAATAAATAAAAATTTGACATTGCTTATGTGCAAGCTTCATAAATAAAATCTGCTTTCCCCTGACAACGCTTTCTTATTTGTTCTAATTATATCTGTGAGGCCTTTATGGTTTTGGGGTGAAAGCGTGGCATTGTCTCTGTTTGGTGTGGAATTGTTTTCACCGCAGTAGTTTTTTCAAAAAGGAAGCATTATCTTAATAGTATTCATAGATGCTTAGTTGCATCTTGCATGGTAACAACATGCAGATTCTGTTTTCAGTGTTTATCACTCTGAAAAACGGAGGAACAGAAGAGAATTAGTATGTAAATCTTGTCTCGTTGAAATTATTTGATAAATATCTGAAGAGAGTCTTTGTTTGCTCAAGAAAATAGAAAACTGTTAAAAATCTCAAAGATGATTGGGACAACCTTCAGAAAGGGGTGCTTATGGTTTTGTAAAGATGGGCTTATGTTTTCCACTTAATGCACTTTGCTCAGGGAAAGTGGGGTAAAACCAATAATATGGAGTGGTTCACCTTCAGATGCATTTTGATTCAAGTTTGTAGTTGGATGGGATTAAACTTGTTACTGTAACCCACAATGCTATTTTCATTTCAGTAGTTTTCTGTCTTCTGTGTTTTGTGTAAATTGCTAATAACAGCAGTCATAGATGAATTTTGTCTTAAAAACCTTTGCTTAGAGTGGAGTTGTGGAGTGCCGAAGGATGTCCTGTCCCCCTCTCAATTGCCCTCTTGATGCTCTCCCAGTGCATGTGGAGAGTCAGTGCTGCAAAATATGCAAGGGTGAGTATGTGGCACAGACCTTTGAGTTTCACCCTCTATTTAAGCAGAGTTAAACTTGTCCTGAAACCAGGCGCATTTTATGATGATGTTTGTAGGTCCTGGTAATTCAGGTAACGAGTCACAGTGTCAAACTTGGTTTAAGAAGAAAATAAATAATTGCTGAGAAATGAGCAAGCATTGCAAATGTCTAAATTCTCTTTTTACGAATTGTCAATGTAAAATTTTTCATCTACTTGTTTGGGGCTGGGAAGCCTTACTTGGCTTCAGCTTGTATCTCTTGTTGATCTTGAGGAGCATCAAGCCTATGGTGTGAACTTTCTGTAGCGATGAGTAATAAACTGAGCTATTATCTTTTTGCCTGTCTTTTATTTTGGGTTGGAAAGTTGTTCTTTAAAATAAACATGACAGACTTTCACACCTTGAGTTAGTATTACTGTGTGGAGTGATAGTTTGCTGTAATTAATTTCAGAATAAATTTATGAGAAGAAAAGAGAAAAAAAAAGTAAATTTTGTGAATTCAGTAAATTCAGTTTCTTCTTTTGGAAATGAAAGTGGTAAGTAACATTGCTGGAAATAATATTCAATATTTGTTGCCTTAATGGTAGTACAAGGGACAAAGACAATTTATATATGGAAATTTTAGCTGAATACTGATGCCAGTCTTACCTTAAGGAGCACAAGTTATCTCCTTCCCTTTCCCCCCCCATTCTTGGAGATTAGTAAATGTCATGCATGAGTTTTTCAATAATTCATAAGACAGGGATATTGAATTATTTTAAAGTTTCTCAGGAAAATAATAACACTTTTTTTAGCATTCTATTACCTTTCTTCAGTCACTGAATTCATTAGTCCCATGCACAAACATCCTTTAGCTGTGATCTTGCACTTGCTCTTGTTTACTCACGACATTTCTCTCAGCTGTATGTCGGCATGAGTATTCTGCTTCCTACAAGAAGTTTATGAACAGAGTACTTGGTTGGTAAAGTGGCCATGCTGGCCTGTATTTTTTGTCTCAAAATATTTTTACTTGTAATATTGAGAGTCTAGGAAGTTCTTTCATGAAACTGGATGCTTCTCTTGACACGCCTTTGCTGACATGCATGTATGCACAATGGTCAAAACCTGACAGAAAAGGATTGCAGGGCACACAATTGTAGATTCAACATATAACCCCATGAGTAAACGGGGTTCCTGTTATTTGTAATGGAAAGATGAACAATCAGACTTGCCTTTTGTCAGTGATTGGCACAAACTTGACTCGTTATTCTGACAAGAACTCAACATGTCAGTCAATGGGAAGAGATGTATGGAAGTTGATTGAAATTGATTGTAAATGCCAGCTCCTTGACAGAATGATGTGCCAGGGCCACAGTCAGTCACTTTTGGGTAGGTAGTAGTAATTGCTGAGGCTTTCCAAAGAGCTGCACTGCAGGTGTTAATTTCTCTGTACTTTTCCTATTTAGCTCTGATAGAATCATCAGTTGTAATTTGCTGTCTCTAGGGATTATTGAATGGCTGGATTATTGAACAGTTTCCTGTCTTAGCTGAGGGTTAATGAACAAAGTAGCTCTAATGTCTGATATGTTAAGGGTTTTAAAAATTAGGTGGTTCTGTTTTGATCCCTGCCATCTTGTGTTAGCCTTCCAAGTAATATTTGACAAAAGACTGTAATTTTGTTTAAAATCTTGTCATTTTTCTGAGTTGTCTATTAACTTGCTTTCTTGTGTTGTCTATTCTTTGGTTAACATGAGTCATGTCAGGAGAATAGACAGAAAGAAAAAGAAAATTTCTCTAATTCATCTTCTCCCAAAAATAGTTACCGGGATTCCTAATTTAAACAAAGCTTCCTGATTGGAAGTTTTCTTCATAAGTGAGATCACAACAGCTCGGGCATAAGAACTAGGGCAGCTTTAGAAAAATGAAGAAAACTAGGATACCAAAAAGAAGCAGCCTGTTTTTTAAAATACATTGTTGACAATGAAAACTGAGTTCTTCCGAAAATCTTGCTTTTTTTTAATTTTTATTTTTTTACAGAAATGAGCATTTTCAAGAGTGTAAGTTTAAACAAAAAGTCCTTAGAAGCAAATTAGGTCTGAAAGTTTATGAAGATTGATCTGGCAGTCCTTTATATTTAGAATTTGGGAATCAAACTGGCTATGACAGTTGCTGCTGTGGAATACTCTTACTGGTATCAGCTGCAAGGGGTACACACATGTACCTGTAAGTGCTTGGTTCCCTTACTTTGGTATTCGGGAGGTAAAACAGTTACTAGCCAGTCTGTGATGACTTTTTTTTTTTTTTGAGAACCAAGTACTTTGAACACTTTGACTGTGCATGTGGCTTGACTCAGGAAACCTTTCAGGTTTTTGTTCAATTGCAACATAGCTTTCATACATTTTAGCTCTCCTTTCAGTGTCATAGGTTAGACTGTTATTGGTCACCATCACTGGAAGTGTTCAAAAAACTTGTGGATGTGGCGCTTTGGGGCATGGTTTAGGGGGCATGGTGGTGTTGGGCTGACAGTTGGGCTTGATGATCCTGAAGGTCTTATCCAATCTTAATGACTCTGTGGTCAAGCTCGGAGAGAGCTGAAACACCACAACAAACAGGTGTTTTATCAGTGTTTAGCATTGATCTTGTTAGTAATGTAGGGTGCCTTCATGATGGATACTTTATTTGTGTAAGATGATAATAGTTCAACTGCTCTCTTTAATTCATGGATTTATTGTCTTCCTCTGGACTGAAATTTAGACATCTAGTTCCAAGAGGACTGTGATAGTTATGGTAATACTTGACCGAGCTGTATGCTACTGTGGCCCTGCTGGAGCTTACCTTCTTCATGGTGGCAGTAGTCCTAAGCTAAGCTAGTTGACTTTGCCTTCAAATGAATGAGCAGTGCTCATGGGTTCCAGTCTGTTGGTTCAATTCTCGATCTGGTTATCTTCAGAAGAAGGATGAAAACTTCAGACAAGATATTCTTAGTAGGAGCCTTCAGTTTCCTGGGAAATCTGCTTGTTTTATGTGTGTTTTAAGAATATTTTTCTGAAATAGATTTTTACAGTTGTTTGATTCAGCAGAGTCATTTGTTGCATCTAATGCATTTTTGCAGTGCTCCAGCAAGTTGAAGAGTTCACCTTTGTGCCCACAAAAAACCTGAAGGTTTAATTGAAATCTGTACTTACATTATTCTCTTGATGAACAGTACACTAATAAATGTCTCCAGCTCTTCAAGTGAGCCATGAAGACCACTAGTAACACAAATACTGTAGCAAGTCTACAGAATGTCAGTAACAAAAATATTTTCTATCTAGTACTAATGAGTTTGGTGCAGTATGTATTGTCTTATGCTCTTATTTCTCCTCTTTAACTTGGGTAAAGGTGCTATTTGCTCTTAAAATGAATTTGTTGTTAGTTACTTTATGTGAAATTATATATAATACTGACTTCTGATGAAAGCAAAATGCATCATATTTTAACGTATCTATTTTTACAGTATATGTGAATATTGGTTTTTCTTTTGTGTTATACCTTGCATTTGTTTACTCTTACTGATTTGATGAATTTATTTTTTATCTCCCTCCTTTTCCTCTCAAATTACAGCAAAGTGTATCTATGGAGGCAAAGTGCTAGCAGAAGGTCAACGAGTATTAACCAAGAGCTGCAGGGAATGTCGAGTAAGTTTAAGTTGTATAAAATTCTCCTGATTTTAAATGTATGTGTGGTGTTCAAAAGTGACAATGATAAGCTAGTGCATTTCTTTAGGCTTCCTTCATGCAAATGTGACATCTGTTGTCTTGAAAAGGTGACATTGAAGTCAGTGAAAGCCACAAATACGAAAACAAGGCAGGAATATGACCCCTGCGGGGTAACAAATACATGGGCAAAATGACTTGGAGGGATGTTTTCTCTTTTATCTCCTGCTTTCATGAGCTCTAGAAAAAGGCAGGAGCATCTTGAGCCGGTTACTAATTTCAGACAGATTGCTAAAACTTGAAGTAACCTGACTTATATTGCTTGGGTTATTCTAGATTACCGTAGTATTATTTAAACTATATGTAGCCCTGCTAATAATCGAGATAAATTACTAATGTGGGACTGGACTGGGGTCTTTCTTGTCAAGTTCATAACACTTAGTCAGCTGGTTAGTATTTAAGAACACAGGTAAATGGAGGTTGTGTTAGACAGGAACATTAAGGGGGCGTTAGGGAATATGAGAGTGCTACATGGTGTGTGAGGCAGAAACCAGTCGTTTCCAAGACTAGCCTTGGAAGAAGAGAGAAGTAGTAGATGATTATAAAAGGCCCATTGCTCTGCTGAGACATGTATTTGTTGTGAGTATACGTGTGCTTTAAATATGATTTATTACTTCAGAAAGGCACAGCTATTTTAAACACATTTGCTCTGACATGTAATTTCAAGTATTTTTGTTTTTACATCTTGGATTTGTGGAGAGGGAAGAGTGATAAAGGGGAGGCTTACAAATGTTATTGAGAGATCAGTATGCTAGAACAATTATGAGAAACATTTTGAAAAGATTACAATGATCTGGTTATTGTTGTACTTGTGGCTGAGTGTGCAGAGTAGCAATTTTATGTTCACTAATGGAAATGGACAATAACTGGTTGCAGATCTTGTGAAAGCAGCTTGTTATGCAGAATTACTTTGCAGTTGTTAGGGTTTAGCTGTATGGGGGTTCTGAGAGGTAGGCAAAGTCGTTGCCTTGAAGGCAGACTAAGGTGCCTGTTATATGTAATATGACATAGAATGTTTATTTGGGAGGTAAGGTGCGTGTATGAAATACGATGAGAACTGGAGGATTTTCACATTAAAGTGAAACCAGAGAGAGTGATCTGAATTATGTCTGTGGAGCTTCTCGGTGCTGTAGATAAGAGTGTTATATTCGTTGTTATGAGTACGATAATACATTTATGAACATTAAAAGCAAATATTGACCATCAAATGTCTGTCATACCAGAAGTGACTAAAATAATAATGAAAAGAGCTTTTGCATTTTGCTTATTGTTAAAGGAAATTGATGTGGCAATGCTAATTGCAGTAACATTGCCATTTGTATTGATAAGTATTTGAAACAGCATATGTGAATGCAATACCATGAAAAAAAATGAGCCCATGCTTCAAAAAAAGGAAGATGGTATTTCCACAGCTGTGTTTCGAGAAGACATTAAACCTCACTGGCAAAGGTTGTCATTCTGAATCAGGAGAGTTTTTAATGGGTGCTTACCTCTGCTTCTACGAGTTGATGTGTCTCCCAGACAGGAAGTTCATTCAGTGTGTCTTCAGCATGACCTCTGAAAAGCTGTAAGCAAAACACCTACTTATTTATTGTCTCAATTAGGAATACTTACTAGATGAAGGATGAGTGGCAATGAGTCAAACTGTGGCTGTACACAATGTTTTCTATCCCCTGAGGGCCTACTGGCGGACAAGGTGTTGTATGAGTTGTATGAGGGCTTTGTGCTAGGGGAAAGACTACAAAAAATTTAATAGGGTTTAATTTTGCAGATGTGAAAAGCAAACGTGAAGTTTGAAAAGCTGTTGAACCATGAAGGAATGCAGTAGATGTTATACATCAACTGTCAATTTATTAATGTCAATAAAGAAGAGTTAAAAATCTTGATAGTTGCTCTTGTGTTTGTAAAGGAGGATGTAGTTGTAGGTGGGGTGACATCAAAAAGATAAAGTTAAAATTTCAAATGTCAGTTTTTATTTGAAGATAGTTATTTTATTCTTTGCGTAGGCACTGACCCAAGCATAAGAGGCTTTTAACTATTATATTTGTTTCCATTTAACAAAAGTAATAATACTGATGGATCCAGATAGGTCAAAGATGTTCTTTATCAGGCTGTGAGCAGGTTTTTTTCTATTTCTAAAGACTAATCCAGACTAAAACTGTATTTGATGCATATCCTCTTAACCATAAGCACAGATGTTACTGATGGACAGCTATTCCCAGTTGTAATCCTGCCCACAAACACTCTCTAGATTAATCTACAATGACAAATTTAGTGCACAGGTATTTCTAAGAATCACAGAGTGGTTCAGGTTCGAAAGGACCTCTGGAAGTCATCTTGTCCACCTCCCCTGCTTGAGCAGGGCCATCTAGAGCCTGTTGCCCAGGACCGTATCCAGATGGCCTTTGAATATCTCCAAGAATGGAGACTCCACAAATTCCTTGGAGAGCCTGTGCCAGTGCTCAGTCACCCTCACACTGAAGAAGTGTTTCCTGATGTTCAGAATGAACCTGCTGTGTTTCAATTTGTGCCCATTGCCTCTGGTCCTGTCACTGAGCACCACTGAAAAGATCCTGGCTCTTTGTACCCTCCCTTCAGGTATTACAAGCATTGGTAAGATCCCCTCAGAGCCTTCTCTCCTCCAGGCTAAACAGTCCCAGCTCTCTCAGCCTTTCCTCCTGTGAGAGGTGCTCCAGTCCCTTACTTATCCTTGTGGCCCATGGCTGGTCTCTCTTCAGTTGTTCCATGTCTCTCTTGTACTGCAGAGGCTAGAACTGGACCCAACCCTCCAAGTGTGGCCTCACCAGCGCTGAGCAGAGGGGAAGGATCACCTCCCTTGACCTGCTGGCAATCCTTTGCCTAATGCAGCCCAAGTCACCATTAGCCTTTTTTTCCACAAGGGTACATGGCTGGCTCATGTACCCTGTCTGTCAGGATGCCTGGGTCCTTTTCTGCAAAGCTGTGTTCCAGCAGGGTGATCCTAGCATGTGCTGGTGCATGGGTTTGTGCCTCCCTAGGTGCAGGAGTTTGCACTTCTCCTTGTTAAACTTCTTGAGGTTCCTGTTGACCCATTTCTCCAAGCTGTTGAGGTCCCTCTAAAAAATGCAAGTGTGTTTGTGCTTTAGAAAACTGCACCTTCTGCATTCAATAAATGGTTATTTTGGCTTGTGGGTTTCCCTAATATGGTGATGTGTCTCATTTGGAGTCAATGGAAAGAATTCTATAACTTCTGTTGCATTGGGAGTTTACTGCTGATCAGCTGACTGGGTTAATGACTGTGAATGAGATGATGCCCATTCATAACCAGACAAAGTGTTTGACAGCAAAGGGTAGAAGAAGAAATTCCTCTTCACTAATGCTGGGAGTGGGCAGTCAGAGAGTGCCATACATATGCTAGAAAGAAGGACAGGGCTCCACTGACTTTCAGGAAGCTTGACTAAAAAGTTTTTCATAAAGATAAGGATCAATATGGTTCCTAGAGTGATAGCTAAGGATGCTATTTGGAACTTTCTCCTGAAAAGCTGATGAATAACAGCTAAAATAGAGGGGGGGAAAAAAACCCCAAACAACAACAGAAACCCCAAAATAACTTTATCTGAAATCTTGCTATTATTTTTCCAAGGCTGATCATCTGAGATGAGCTGTTTGTGGTTCAGATTTTCACTGTGTGTCACTGATTAGGCTTATAGCCAATTCTTTTTTTTTTTTTATGTACTTAACTTTGTAATTACAAGAAATTTCATTATCTTGTTGTAAATGTTTGACTCCAGGTCTCATTCTTTGTGGATTGTATGTCACAGTTGGAGCTTGACCTATTTATTCCAAAAGAATGTCTTTTTGACATCTCTTTCTGTCCAGATTCTATGACTACACATGTGAATTGAGTATAAACAGTAATTTTTCTAAGGCTGCCTGAAGCAATAATTCTGAAGTGTGAACTATTCTTATCTCAGTGGATAAAATCTGAAATCTAATGATGATAATTGTTATAATTGGATCTGTACTAGTTTGTAACAAATAGATTTTAATCCAAAGAATACTCAACATGGAAACATTTTAATTGTTTTAGAACTTAATTACAAATATGTACAATTCGTTTTCCCAAGATGCAAATTCTGAAGAAAAAGGGAAACTTTAGGGAAATAAGATCTTTCTGTCATTAAATTAATGGAATTCTCAAGTTGTGTTTTTTTTTATCTCCTTATGATTCACTAAAGGTGTGGGATTGGATTGAATTTGTCTTTAGCTTTTTGACTCATCCTGATCACTGATTTGACTTTCATACTATTTCTTGATTTCTTGCCGTCATTTTGACCAGATTTATCGTCAGTCAATGCTTTCTGTCCATATGTTGACATACTGTACCCTTTCTGCTGCAGTTGTCTTGTCTGAGCTTGAATAGGTGATGAGTTATAGCCAGAGTTTTTCCACCTGGTAGTTTGATAACATGATAGTAAATGACAGCTCAGTGTGTCTGGTTCTTCTATCACCTTTGCTGCTGCAGTTGAGCAAGCAATCGTGGGGGATTCCTCCCTTGCACTTATGGAAGTGAGATCAGGAGACCTAGTACCTCCATTATCTTCACTGTTCTTGTGTGGGCACTTGCTTCAATGATGCATGCTGCATGTGATACTGTAGGGAGCTGCTTTAAAAAAACCAGCAACAACCATCAAAACAACAAGCCACAAAACCTGATGGCTGTGGGGTTTTTTAAATGTTATTTTTCGTGACAGCAACTGATGCAACTTGCCAGTAAAGACAATTGGGAAGCGAGAAAAACGGCTTGGCCCTGCTTAGCCTAAAGATTGCAATCTCCAGGGCAGTCATGAGCAGTGGTTGCAGAATGGTCAGTTTTGTGTTCCCGAGGTCTGCCGCGCTTCTCAGTTGTGAGACTTGCTAGTTGCCAGGCACCTTGTACATCATCTGCTCCTTGTAGACTTGGCGGGCATTTCTGTGTACATAACTGTGCAGGGCAGCTTGATGCTGTGAGAGCTAATTCTGGAGCCTGAAGCGACACAGCTGAGTCAGCATGGCATGGCTGATGAGGCTAACTACCAGCAAGGGTTTTACCTGTACTGGTTGTGGCACCTGAGCAAGTCTTTTGGCGTGGTGTGGCACAGTGTCCTGTAGATACGAAAGCAAGCTTCTGGCTAGAAAGGGTGCCTCTGTGTAGGGCTGTTTCTTCATACAGGGTAGACACGTGGGTATTTTCAATATCTTCTGTTCAAAGTCACGTATCTGATCCCTCAGATTACGAGAATGGTGTCTTTAATAACATATTTTGTCTTTTTTTTGGGTATTGGTTTTCCTCTGTTTTCTTAGCCCTAAATGTGTTTGGATAATATTTTTAAACTTCTCTCAGCAATCATGATAGCTAGAAAATGTAACTTAATTTTTTGAAGAAAGCTGAAATTCTTGTTCCATTTTTTTTGCTTTACCATCTGAGGCATCATGAAAAATATTTTGGGAGGAGTGGGGATTAGATTCATATTAAAAAGTTGTGTTTGCAATATAGCAGGCTGCCTGCTTGCTTAGTGCAGTTTCACAGCCCTTTGGAAAATGGGATTACTCAGGTGTGGACAGTCCTGTGGGATAGTTATTGTAGCTCCTACTGAGCAAAAATCCCAGTTGTTAATCTCTGCTCCACTTGCCAGTTTACAGTGATGGCATAGCTGCAGAAGGGATGCTGAAGTAGTAAATTATGGTATGGGGAAAGTGCAGGGGAATAAGGGAAAAGAGGAGGCTATTTTGGGACAAGATGTTAAGAAACAGCTAACTGAAGAGCAGGACAGCTGTTTGGTCTGGAGATATGGTGAAGCTGACTTCCTGGATGGGAAGATGATGGAGGAAAATTTAGTGTAAAATCTCCCCAGAAAGGCTCTGTGTCTATTATTTTTAGAAAATTTCTACCAGCAACTAGACCCTCCTACGCACAGTCTTATTATAAATATAGCAGAAATCAAAGTTATAGAAATATCTTGACCTTGATTTAAATTTTATTCAGTAATTTCTATATGGATACCTCAAGATGGGATTGCTGTACCTTTGAAGGACATAATTTTTGGAAGTTAGCTGATCAGTAATTCTAAAGAACAGACTCTTTTAATTGGACACGGCAGAACACACATGACACGTGAAAACATTGGCCTTCTGTCTGCTGTGTTTGTTTGAGTTGAATAACTTATCAGTGAGTTATGCAGAATATGAAATAGGAGTAGAATTCAGACTTGCATAAAGCAGGGAGACTGTCTTTAACAAAAGCCTGGAGTGAAATTCTTTAATTCCTTCAAATACTTGGAAGGAAAACAACTATGCTTGGAGACAACATATTTGGAAAAACTACTATAGAATTCTGAGCTTAAGTGCCTTTTTTTCCTCTCCCTTTCCTTGTCCCTTTCCCTCTTCCTGAAATGTCCAAGCAGATTACTTTAGATTTGATGTTATGCTGTAAAGAATGAGTTTAACTTGCTGCCTCCTAGTTCACCAGTGTTGTTACTAGAGTTTACCAGAGTTTTAGATTGAAAATTATGTGTTCCTTGTCATTATACATGTTTTAATCATTGATGTTGTGAAAAATATTGTTTGTTTTTCAGAATGGAGTCTTAGTAAAAGTAACAGAGACTTGTCCGCCATTGAACTGCTCAGAAAAAGACTACGTTCTTCCAGAGAACCAATGTTGCAGTGTTTGTAGAGGTAAGCCAGAGACTATGCATGCTTGGAAGGAATCGAAGTTGCTGATTCAATGAGGGAATACACTGGAAGGAACAGTTCCTTTTTAATGAGATATTAGGTACCTCTATGAACCTGAGTCTGTAATTATCTGTCACGTAAAACCAGTCTGTGATATTCTTTTGGGTAGAAGAATTATGAGATACGAAGCTGTAATTGCTCTGAGTTAGAGAGGGGGAGGGAGAAAAGGAAGAGTTGAGGGAGAAAGGGCCCAGTATCTCTTAAGAATTCCCATTAGGAAGAAGTTATGTTTGAAAAAGAGATATTTTATGTTGCTTAAACTTGCAACTGCACTGAACGTACAGCATTTTGGAAGTGAGTTTTTAAGCTCTCTTTTAAAATCACAATAATAATGTTAAGATTCCAGTTTGATGGATATTTTGTGGTTGAATTAGATCTGAGTGCTCTCAGGACTCATTTATGAGCAAAGGACAATTACAGAATAAAACCAAAAAAATAACCCTAGAGCCCAGAACCTTGTTTCTCCTCCCTCCAGTGGGGTGTTGAGATGCAGGTTTCTTTTGTTGTTCCCTTTCATCCCTGGTGAATCCTGGTTGCATGGTGAACCAGACCGAACAAGCCATAGCTAAAATCTTAGTTGAGGAAATCCCCTTAAATGGGGAAAATGCAGGTGTCACAAGGATGGAGAACTCAAACAAGCTTTTTTCTTGAAGTGTGTTGTAATCTGAGAGCTGTTCAGTGAAAGGTGTTAAAATAATCATTCCCTGTGTACATATGTATTGTACCTTTGTTCCACACCTTTCCCTTGGTGCTGAATCTCAGCTGAGCTTAAGAGGAGCCTAGTCTCTCAGAGCAAGACTTGCGTGTCAGCCTTTAGGGATGCACCTCAAAAATTTCAAGCAAGAGGTTTGCCAAGTGAGCATTAGACATTTCTTAGGTGGTTATCAGGGCCTGCTGGCCCTACTTTTCTTCCCTGTGTGTAAATTCCTCTGGTGTCGTCGTAGATGCCAGTGAAGGGGCTCTGAATCTCTCCCTTAGTCAGTAAATATTAGTTAGTAAATATGCATAGTTAAATATTTACTAAGGCCTTGAACTTGCAATCATATGCACATGGTTGCAGAGGCCAGCTTGTTTTAGACTGCTTGCCAGATCATGGTCTAAGAATATACACATTAATCTTTTTGAACAGTTTCTAGAAACATCTGTAACTATTTAAGCAACCAGTAAATGTTGCTTCTTTGTCCCTCAGAGGGCTCGATGTCTTAATGATGCTTCTTAACAGATGGCCCAGTTTGATACAGTGCAGTACTGAAAAAATTATCTTCATGACTTAAAAGCGTTGGAAATCTGAAAGCTTTAAAGTTGATGAAAGATAAGTTCTGTAATTATTCAGTTCTATATTCTTGTTAATGATAGGTACTCTTTTTAGATATTCATCCCCAAACTGTTTTCATTATTTATAAAATAGCATGAATATACTTATGCAATGGTCTCTAGAAGCAAAGGAAGCAATTGTACTTTCACTTCAATGAATTCTGATATGTGGTGCTTTCAAATTGATATGTTAAACTGCCACTTCAGTTCTGCTTTAGCTGACTACTAAACCAGTACCACCTCCTTTTGTATTTCATCTTTGCTATTTAAAATTATTTTGAAATTATGCTTAAGTATATGATTAATTTTGCCAACTTTACAAAAGCATAGTTAGCACTCCTAAATAGCTTTTTATATCTTGAAGTAGAATATATGCTGCCTGACATTTTACTTGAGTTGCACGCAACTCAAAGTGGTAGTATATAACTTATCATGTGTAGAGTACTGGTGTTAAAAATGGATATGTATTAAGAATTCCATATTTAGTATGGGTTTTGTCATGCAAACAGGTGCCCTCTGGTACGGCAAGCAGGCCACAGTTTCTGGTCCTGTCCTGTGCCATCATGTCCTTTACTGGGAAAGGATAGAGCTCTTCTCTGTTTTGCAATAACTGCCTCTTGCAGAGACTGTATTCAGCTTTTATTGTCCAAGCAAAAGTAGTGAGGAAGAAATATTTTATTAAACGTAGCCCTGAGTAATCAGGGAAGCCCCTATGGATCATTTGCTCATCGTGTGCAAATTTCACATTATATGTATGATGATACAGATAATTTTTTGCATTAGCCCTTAGGCCTTCAGTTGGTCAACAGGATGATTAGTAGCATGTACTAGTAATGTTAAATGAGAACAGTAATTCTATGTAAAGTTTATCAGTGCATACTAGTGACTGGTAGGTTCTGTGTTTGTGCCAGTTTGTGCTTTCTTTAGTATCTAGTTGCATGTGGAAACAGAAAACTTCTACTGAATTTCATGTTCTGTAGGAGTATAGAATACCTTTGCTGAATTGAGCAAGGGTGGGAGGTTTGCAGCTTGTGCTTTTCTAGCTGCAGCAAAATAATTTCTATTTAACGAAAGGATAAATCTGGGAGGTGAACGGAAGGAAAAAACTACAGAGAAATATGGAAACTTCATGATGCTGTGGTATGAGACTGTACCCTCGTCAGGGACCTCTGTAATATCTGCCACAATAATAGACAAGTGCTTAAAATAAAATAGGATGTGCAAGGAAGAAATAAATCTGTAGTGTTTATAGTGCTGGAAAGTGTGAGTCAGCAAAGGACCAAGCTAAATACTGTAATGTACACAGCTGGTGGGCTTCCTAGATAGTCATTATTGTTTGTAAATGGTTAGAAAAGTAAAAACAACAAATAATACCTTTTCTTCTTTGTGTTTGCTACATGGGTTTATAGTATAGCAAAAGCTAACACATTGCTAAAAGCCACTTTCTAAATTTCAGTAAAATGATTGTATAAGGTGTACGGCAAGGCAGGCTTAGTGTGGAAGAAGTCTGCTGTACAATGACAGCTTATTTTTGTGATATGATGTACCTGAATGCAAAAGCAGGCCTCATCAGATCTGCATATAGGATCTGTCCTTGAATGTTATGTTAGAGTATATGTAGTTTTGCCTGTCATCTGTGTGCTTTAATATAAATGTCTACTTAAACTGTGT